CTAATCATCTCACATACTACTGGAGTATTTTGACGAATCCACTCACTTTTTATTCCACATTAGCATGAAGTGTTACACATTTAGATTTATGAAGACTACTTTCAATGTCTCTAAATTAAGAGATAAGTATATGTGAAGAGTTTATAGAATTCAGAGTGGTTTCAAATGTGAAAAAAGTACCAAATCTGAAGCCTTAGACCGTCTTTCCCGAATAGTTCGCCACGAATCATCTGCAGCTAACGATCCTGCACCTGCTGTGATTATGCTGCAACATCGACATTAAGTGTGAGGAAAGACATTAACATTGCTGACCGAACCGTCGCTTAGTAGCGCTGTTTAATGGAGCGATTCCAGAAAAGAATGCTTTATGCATGAAAAAAAGGGTGCTTACACTTCACTAAGCCTACTACAAAAGCTATTCACCACGTTACACCTGGCAAGTCACTGCACGTTTGGTAAGCTTTCCTAAATACGTATTTCAATTTTTAAAAGTAAACCTTTTAAGTGTCGCCCTCTTCTGTCTTCCCTCGACAGTGCGATTAGTGAGTATAAAGACATGCTGGAATACCCTGTTAGAAAAGAAGTTGCTTTCTTTCCCTTGTCGCAATTTCTGATAAGTTTCGTATCTGAATTTTTAAAAGATCGTATTTAACAAATCTCTTATACTACATACAAAGAACTTGAAGCAAGTAACCTCACAATTTTAGTATTTCTTTGAATTTGGACAAAGTCGGCGTATGAATGTCGACCTGGTTGTGCTTATATTCATGTTCCAACTCAGGTACAATGCCTTCCTTGGAGCGTGTCAGCCAACTCGGCCGTAGCAGCCATGCTCCTTAACAACAAACAATAGAAAGTGAAAATCACGTTATTCCGAAAACCAACCCGAAACGACCGCGTAGTATAACGCTGAGTAAAGATATGTCTTGTCTTTTTTAGAGGGTGGCTTAACAACTAGATGAGTAACGGAAGTTGATATTACCTGGAACCACAGCGTTTTTTAATTTATCAGCTAAATTTAAACATTTATGGAGAGAACACTAACGTCTTTCACATCAATCTCCTCTATACAGCTTCGTAATAATTCGGATTTCTCCTTGTCCGAAAATCCAACGAGGAAAACATTGAAGTGATCTGCGCGAGCTATAAAGACAAATTATTACATTTTCATGTGCGAACTCCCTGCGAAAAATGTTTTACACAAGAAATTGGAAAAGGAAGATCCTGAGATCCCATTGGTAGCACAAACCTGCTTTATTGCATGGACCTTTCGATAATTTGGGAGTCCCTGCAAATCCGACTCGCTTCCTCTTTTGTCGGCCACCTGAATCAGACCCACCAACTCCTGCACGGTCGCTCATGAAGAGCAATTTATCCTTACTACACTAATTTGCAAATCGATTTGGAACTGAAACAGTGCACATAATATAAAGATGTTGCAAATATATACATTCGAAACCCAGCTATTTTTTTTCATTTAAGCTGCTATCGCTATTTAGCTCAGAAAATTGACCAATGAATTCTCAATTAACACAACGGAGTATAAAATAACTTAAAATTACTCCAAGAAGACTGAATTAAGCGCAAAAAATCCTGCAGAGCGTCCACAACGTACGAATGATATTAATGTTTTACAACATATATGTATATCAGAGTCGCAAACGCTGTTCTCCACTCCCCTGCCCCTCCCATCGCCATTCTGAAACTGGATCTCCTGCTTAAGCAAGTTATATAATAAAATAATTTTTTTAAAATTTATTATTCGTAATTACTGGTGAAGGCTTCTAAGGATAAAATTCAAAATAGAAGTTCGCCAGGTGTTTTCTTGCTGATTTTTCTTCGGAAATATTTTGTGCACCAGCAACTGGCATAGTTATGTGAGTAACATTTCCTCATAAATGGCTTCCCTATCTGTCGCTACCTATATCGAGTTTGTTAAAAAAAACATTCCCATACTGGATTTAAAATGTTTAAAACGATTCTAAAAGATCTGCTCACTGTACCTCTCAGGGTACTTTTCTTTCTTTTTATTCATCTAAATGGTATCTCCTTTCTCACAAAATATAACGCATGTAATGCGCACAACAAAAAATTTCGAATTTAAGTATAGTTATGTGACAAACAAAGGAAAAGAGATCGTATCAAAAGAGGTAAATAAAATTAAGAAACTTTTGTAATTCATATATCGATACAACTGCATCTTCCTTTCTCAATCATAAATTATTATGTATTTCAATTATAATTAAATCTAAACATTTTTCAAACAATATCCATGCTGGAAAAATGCGAAATTTGCGCAATTTCCATATTTAAAATCTCAGAATGAGGCAGGGAAGATTATTGAGCAGGCACACCAAACAAAGATTATTGAGCGACATTACTGATACCATAGTACACGATTCTTCTTGAAAATGGACGAATGAACAGTGGTGCAGCGGATACGACATGTTCCTACATTTGCATTTGATTGACCTTTCCAATCAAAAAGGAAACACTAGAACGCGAAGCAAATTCCTTGAAAACCTCCAAAAGATGAATATATGGAGTTTCGCATAAATGACGCGAGCAAAGATCCACTTCACTAATATAAAGTGCAAAATTTTGCAAAGTTACGATTAACTACTGTAATCATCAGATACAACAGAAATCCGC